CAGAATTGTTACTGAGGGCCACAGAACTGTTACTTAGGGCCACAGAATTGTTACTCGCACAGACACAGAATTGTTACACAGGGACACAGAACTGTTACTGAGGGCCACAGAAACCGTTACTTAGGGCCACAGAATTGTTACTCGCACAGACACAGAATTGGTTACTCGCACAGACACAGAATTGTTACTCGCACAGACACAGAATTGTTACTCAGGGACACAGAACTGTTACTGAGGGCACAGAACTGTTACTTAGGGCCACAGAAGTTGTTACTCGCACAGACACAGAATTGTTACTCCCGGGACACAGAACTGTTACTGAGGGCCACAGAACTGTTACTTAGGGCCACAGAATTGTTACTCGCAGAGACACAGAATTGTTACTCGCACAGACACAGAATTGTTACTCAGGGACACAGAACTGTTACTGAGGGCCACAGAACAATTACTTAGGGCCACAGAATTGTTACTCGCACAGACACAGAATTGTTACTGAGGGACACAGAACTGTTACTTGGGGCCACAGAAACGTTAATCAGGGACACAGAATTTGTTACTGAGGGCCACAGAACTGTTACTTAGGGCCACAGAATTGTTACTCGCACAGACACAGAATTGTTACTCGCACAGACACAGAATTGTTACTGAGGGCCACAGAACTGTTACTTGGGCCACAGAAACGTTAATCAGGGACACAGAATTGTTACTGAGGGCCACAGAACTGTTAGGGCCACAGAATTGTTACTCGCACAGACACAGAATTGTTACTCGCACAGACACAGAATTGTTACTGAGGGCCACAGAACTGTTACTTGGGGCCACAGAAACGTTAATCAGGGACACAGAAATTGTTACTGAGGGCCACAGAACTGTTACTAGGGCCACAGAATTGTTACTCGCACAGACACAGAATTGTTACACAGGGACACAGAATTGCTACTGAGGGCCACAGAACCGTTACTTAGGGCCACAGAATTGTTACTGAGGGCAACAGAACTGTTACTTAGGGCCACACAGAATTGTTACTCGCACAGACACAGAATTGTTACTCAGGGACACAGAACTGTTACTGAGGGCCACAGAAATGTTACTTAGGCCACAGAATTGTTACTCGCACAGACACAGAATTGTTACTCAGGGACACAGAACTGTTACTGAGGGCCACAGAACTGTTACTTAGGGCCACAGAATTGTTACTCGCACAGACACAGAATTGTTACACAGGGACACAGAATTGTTACTGAGGGCCACAGAACCGTTACTTAGGGCCACAGAATTGTTACTCAGGGACACAGAATTGTTACTGAGGGCCACAGAACTGTTACTTAGGGCCACAGAATTGTTACTCGCACAGACACAGAATTGTTACTCCAGGGACACAGAACTGTTACTGAGGGCCACAGAACTGTTACTTAGGGCCACAGAATTGTTACTCGCACAGACAACAGAATTGTTACTCAGGGACACAGAACTGTTACTGAGGGCCACAGAACTGTTACTTAGGGCCACAGAAATTGTTACTCGCACAGACACAGAATTGTTACACAGGGACACAGAATTGTTACTGAGGGCCCACAGAACCGTTACTTAGGGACACATAAATTGTTACTGAGGGCCACAGAAACTGTTACTTAGGGCCACAGAATGTTACTCGCACAGACACAGAATTGTTACTCAGGGACACAGAACTGTTACTGAGGGCCACAGAACCGTTACTTAGGGCCACAGAATTGTTACTCAGGGACACAGAATCGTTTAATTAAAGAGTATGTCAGACAACATGCAGAGGAGTGGCAGAGGAGGCAATGTTTTAGGAGCGAGCAGACGTGGCAGCAGCTAGAGGAAGGGGGTCGAGGCAGCACTATTCGCAGCCAGAGGCTAGTGCTCCCGGTGTCATCCAGTACAGTGAGGAAGAGCTAACAGAGGGCGGGTCAGGAACGGGGGGAGACATCCGCCTCTTCAGCAGCCAGGCGAAGAAAGTAGTGGCAAGGAGAGTGGCTCGGTAGCCGGGGGTTTGTAGAGACAGGTCTGTCTCCTGACCCACACGCAGCCGAGGGGGCTAGTAGTGAGGCGGAGACCCTAATTGATGATGATGAGGCTGATCGCACTTGGCAGCCTCGTTGTCATCAGGCTATTGCTTCCGCATCATCAGGAGAAGAGGGTGTGGCAGCTTGGCAGCGAGCAAAACAGTCGGTGGGTTGTCTCCATCGCCAAAAACTCTGCCATGTGCCACTTTCAGGTCTCCTCACACACTGCTGGTGTGTTGAATTTTTTGACATAGGGTTGCTGGCAGATTACGGGCCTCCATAGCTGCTGCTGCCAGGCCCCTAATCTAGCCATGGGCCCCTATACCGCCTCCTCATGCTGCTGCCAGGTCCACAGTCTCTCATGCCATGTGCCCACTTTCAGGTCTCCTCACACTGCTGGTGTGTTGAATTTTTTTGACATAGGGTGGCTGGCAGATTACGGGCCTCCCATAGCTGCTGCCAGGCCCCTAATCTGCCATGGGCCCCTATATACCGCCTCCTCATGCTGCTGCCAAGTCCAAAGTCTCTCATGGGTCCCTGTACGGCCTCCCATTGCTGCTGTCTCCATCGCCACACTCTGCCATGTGCCACTTTCAGGTCTCCTCACACTGCTGGTGTGTGTAGAATTTTTTGACATAGGGTGCTGGCAGATTACGGGCCTCCTATAGCTGCTGCCAGGCCCCCTAATCTGCCATAGGCCCCTATATACCGCCTCCTCATGCTGCTGCCAGGTCCAGGGTCTCTCATGGGTCCCTGTACGGGCCTCCCATTGCTGCTGTCTCCATCACCACACTCTGCCATGTGCCACTTTCAGGTCTCCTCACACACACTGCTGGTGTGTAGAATTTTTTGACATAGGGTGCTGGCAGATTACGGGCCTCCCATTGCTGCTGCCAGGCCCCTAATCTGCCATAGGCCCCTATATACCGCCTCCTCATGCTGCTGCAGGTCCAGAGTCTCTCATGGGTCCCTGTACGGCCTCCCATTGCTGCTGTCTCCATCGCCACACTCTGCCATGTGCCACTTTCAGGTCTCCTCACACTGCTGGTGTGTAGAATTTTTTGACATATAGGGTGCTGGCAGATTACGGGCCTCCTATAGCTGCTGCCAGGCCCCCTAATCTGCCATGGGCCCCTATACCGCCTCCTCATGCTGCTGCCAGGTCCACAGTCTCTCATGCCATGTGCCACTTTCAGGTCTCCTCACACTGCTGGTGTGTTGAATTTTTTGACATAGGGTGCTGGCAGATTACGGGCCTCCATAGCTGCTGCCAGGCCCCTAATCTGCCATGGGCCCCTATATACCACCTCCTCATGCTGCTGCCAGGTCCAGAGTCTCTCATGGGTCCCTGTACGGCCTCCCCATTGCTTGCTGTCTCCATCGCCACACTCTGCCATGTGCCACTTTCAGGTCTCCTCACACACTGCTGGTGTGTAGAATTTTTTGACATAGGGTGCTGGCACATTACGGGCCTCCCATTGCTGCTGCCAGGCCCCTAATCTGCCATAGGCCCCTATATACCGCCTCCTCATGCTGCTGCCAGGTCCAGAGTCTCTCATGGGTCCCTGTACGGCCTCCCATTGCTGCTGTCTCCATCGCCACACTCTGCCATGTGCCACTTTCAGGTCTCCTCACACACTGCTGGTGTGTAGAATTTTTTGACATAGGGTGCTGGCAGATTACGGGCCTCCTATAGCTGCTGCCAGGCCCCTAATCTGCCATGGGCCCCTATACCGCCTCCTCATGCTGCTGCCAGGTCCACAGTCTCTCATGCCATGTGCCACTTTCAGGTCTCCTCACACTGCTGGTGTGTAGAATTTTTTGACATAGGGTGCTGGCAGATTACGGGCTCCCATTGCTGCTGCCAGGCCCCTAATCTGCCATGGGCCCCTATACCGCCTCCTCATGCTGCTGCCAAGTCCAGGGGATCTCTCATGGGTCCCTGTACGGCCTCCATTGCTGCTGTCTCCATCGCCACACTCTGCCATGTGCCACTTTCAGGTCTCCTCACACTGCTGGTGTGTAGAATTTTTTGACATAGGGTGGCTGGCCAGATTACGGGCCTCCCATTGCTGCTGCCAGGCCCCTAATCTGCCATGGGCCCATATACCGCCCTCCTCATGCTGCTGCCAAGTCCAGGGTCTCTCATGGGTCCCTGTACGGCCTCCCATTGCTGCTGTCTCCATCGCCACACTCTGCCATGTGCCACTTTCAGGTCTCCTCACACACTGCTGGTGTGTAGAATTTTTGACATAGGGTGCTGGCAGATTACGGGCCTCCCATTGCTGCTGCCAGGCCCTAATCTGCCATGGGCCCCCTATATACCGCCTCCTCATGCTGCTGCCAGGTCCAGAGTCTCTCATGGGTCCCTGTACGGCCCCTCCCCATTGCTGCTCTGTCTCCATCGCCACACTCTGCCATGTGCCACTTTCAGGTCTCCTCACACTGCTGTGTGTTAGAATTTTTTGACATAGGGTGCAGGCAGATTACGGGACTCTCCTATAGCTGCTGCCAGGCCCCTAATCTGCCATAGGCCCCTATATACCGCCTCCTCATGCTGCTGCCAGGTCCACAGTCTCTCATGGGTCCCTGTACGGCCTCCCATTGCTGCTGTCTCCATCGCCACACTCTGCCATGTGCCACTTCAGGTACTCTCACACACTGCTGGTGTGTAGAATTTTTTGACATAGGGTGCTGCAGATTACGGGCCTCCCATTGCTGCTGCCAGGCCCCTAATCTGCCATAGCGCCCCTATATACCGCCTCCTCATGCTGCTGCCAGGTCCAGAGTCTCTCTCATGGGTCCCTGTACGGCCTCCCATTGCTGCTGTCTCCATCGCCACACTCTGCCATGTGCCACTTTCAGGTCTCCTCACACTGCTGGTGTGTAGATTTTTTTTGACATAGGGTGCTGGCAGATTACGGGCCTCCCATTGCTGCTGCCAGGGCCCTAATTGCCATGGGCCCTATATACCGCCTCCTCATGCTGCTGCCAGGTCCCAAGTGTCTCTCATGGGTCCCTGTACGGCCTCCCATTGCTGCTGTCTCCATCGCCACACTCTGCCATGTGCCACTTTCAGGTCTCCTCACATGCTGGTGTGTAGAATTTTTTGACATAGGGTGCTGGCAGATTACGGGCCTCCTATAGCTGCTGCCAGGCCCCTAATCTGCCATGGGCCCCTATAACCGCCTCCTCATGCTGCTTCAGGTCCACAGTCTTCCTCTCATGCCATGTGCCACTTTCAGGTCTCTCTCACACACTGCTGGTGTGTTGAATTTTTTTGACATAGGGTGCTGGCAGATTTACGGGCCTCCCATAGCTGCTGCCAGGCCCCTAATCTGCCATGGGCCCCTATATACCGCCTCCTCATGCTGCTGCCAGGTCAGAGTCTCTCATGGGTCCCTGTACGGCCTCCATTGCTGCTGTCACCATCGCCACACTCTGCCATGTGCCACTTTCAGGTCTCCTCACACTGCTGGTGTGTAGAATTTTTTGACATTAAGGGTGCTGGCAGATTACGGGCCTCCCATAGCTGCTGCCAGGCCCCTAATCTGCCATGGGCCCCTATATACCGCCTCCTCATGCTGCTGCCAGGTCCAGAGTCTCTCATGGGTCCCTGTACGGCCTCTCCATTGCTGCTGTCTCCATCGCCACACTCTGCCATGTGCCACTTTCAGGTCTCCTCACACTGCTGGTGTGTAGAATTTTTTGACATAGGGTTGCTGGCAGATTACGGGCCTCCCATTGCTGCTGCCAGGCCCCTAATCTGCCATGGGCCCCCTATACCGCCTCCTCATGCTGCTGCCAAGTCCAGGGTCTCTCATGGGTCCCTGTACGGCCTCCCATTGCTGCTGTCTCCATCGCCACACTCTGCCATGTGCCACTTTTCAGGTCTCCTCACACTGCTGGTGTGTAGAATTTTTTGACATAGGGTGCTGGCAGATTACGGGCCTCCTATAGCTGCTTCCAGGCCCCTAATCTGCCATGGGCCCCTATACCGCCTCCTCATGCTGCTGCCAGGGTCACATTCTCTCATGCCATGTGCCACTTTCAGGTCTCCTCACACTGCTGGTGTGTTGAATATTTTTGACATAGGGTGCTGGCAGATTACGGGCCTCCATAGCTGCTGCCAGGCCCCTAATCTGCCATGGGCCCCTATATACCGCCTCCTCATGCTGCTGCCAGGTCCAGAGTCTCTCATGCCATGTGCCACTTTCAGGTCTCCTCACCACACTGCTGGTGTGTTGAATTTTTTGACATAGGGTGCTGGCAGATTACGGGCCCTCCCATAGCTGCTGCCAGGCCCCTAATCTGCCATGGGCCCCTATGTACCGCCTCCCTCTATGCTGCTGCCAGGTCCAGAGTCTCTCATGGGTCCCTGTACGGCCTCCCATTGCTGCTGTCTCCATCGCCACACTCTGCCATGTGCCACTTTCAGGTCTCCTCACACTGCTGGTGTGTAGAATTTTTTGACATAGGGTGCTGGCAGATTACGGGCCTCCTATAGCTGCTGCCAGGCCCCTAATCTGCCATAGGCCCCTATATACCGCCTCCTCATGCTGCTGCCAGGTCCATAGTCTCTCATGGGTCCCTGTACGGCCTTTTTTTTCCCATTGCTGCTGTCTCCATCGCCACACTCTGCCATGTGCCACTTTCAGGTCTCCTCACACACTGCTGGTGTGTAGAATTTTTTGACATAGGGTGCTGGCAGATTTACGGGCCTCCCATTGCTGCTGCCAGGCCCCTAATCTGCCATGATGGGCCCCTATACGCCTCCTCATGCTGCTGCCAAGTCCAGGGTCTCTCATGGGTCCCTGTACGGCCTCCCATTGCTGCTGTCTCCATCGCCACACTCTGCCATGTGCCACTTTCAGGTCTCCTCACACACTGCTGGTGTGTAGAATTTTTTGAACATAGGGTGCTGGCAGATTACGGGCCTCCCATAGCTGCTGCCAGGCCCCTAATCTGCCATAGGCCCCCTATATACCGCTCTCTCATGCTGCTGCCAGGTCCACAGTGTCTCATTGCCATGTGCCACTTTCAGGTCTCCTCACACTGCTGGTGTGTTGAATTTTTTGACATAGGGTGCTGGCAGATTATGGGCCTCCTATAGCTGCTGCCAGGCCCCTAATCTGCCATTAGGCCCCTATATACCGCCTCCTCATGCTGCTGCCAGGTCCAGAGTCTCTCATGGGTCCCTGTACGGGGCCATCCCATTGCTGCTGTCTCTCCATCGCCACACTCTGCCATGTGCCACTTTCATGGTCTCCTCACACTGCTGGTGGTTCCATTTTTTGTCATAGGGTGCTGGCAGATTACGGGCCTCCCATTGCTGCTGCCAGGCACGTATCTGCCATGGGCCCCCGTACCGACTCCTCATGCTGTGACGTTGCAACAAGGTGGAATTCAACCCTACATATGTTAGACCGCCTTTTACGAACAGCGAAAGGCCATCACAGATTTCCTGATGTTAAAAGCGGATAAAAGGTACTCCCTGTGTAAATTAGATGTCAGCCATTGGCAGCTCATGCGTGACACCTGCGCTTGCTCAGGCCCTTTGAGGAGGCCACGCTATTCGTGAGTCGGGCAGGACTATGGGATGAACGACGTCATTCCTCTGTTGCACGTCCTGGAACAAATGCTGTTAACAATGGCTGGTCAGGGTGCGGTAGACGTGGCGCACAGATCTCAACGCCACATGACCCATGTGGGGGCAGGACAGGAAGAAGAGGAGGAGGTAGAGGAGGACATTGGTGCTCAGGAATTATTGAGTGAAATGGGTGGTTTTTCCACTCAGCGGACAGGAGAGTGGAGGAGCAGGAGCATCTGGTAGAGGAGGAGGAGGAGGAGGAGGTGACAGGAGGACCCAGACGCACCGTGGCAGTATGCTGTGGAGATGGAGCCAGGGAGTCCCTCGCATTCCTTGGCACAAATGGCCCATAGCATGCTCGGTTGCGTTGCGTAGCGACAGAAATCGAATAATAACCATCAGACAGAGGGATGACTTTTGGCTGTCCACCTTGTTGGACCCTCGCTACCGTTCAAAAATGGTGGCCTTTTTCACACCTGCTGAGAGGGAGGCCAAAATAACGTACTATAAAAACCACCTATGTAGTCAGCTGGTCTCTGCCTGTCTGCGCCAACGTCCATCCTCAGACACTGTGGGCCCTGTTTGCGCTCGCGTTCCGCTGCCATGGCAGCAGGGGAGGTGGTGTGGGGTGGTAGGAGCAGTGGCAGCTCCACCAGCAGCGGCTGGCTGCCTCAGTCTGCAGTCGATGATGAGTAGCTTTCTTCACCAGCGCAGTGAGGAAACTTACTAAACCAGCCGCAGCAGCAGCAGCAGCAGCAGCAGCAGCATCAGGTGGACCTGGAGAGCAGGACCTCAACAACAGGCTTAGGCCTACTTGGACAGCACCCTGCCAACCGAGGTAGACAATCCCCTTGACTACTGGGCAACGAAACTTGACCTTTGGCCCCAACTAGCTGAATTTTGCCCTTGAAAGGCTGTCATGGCCCGGCCAGTAGCGTGGCATCGGAGCGCGTGTTTAGTGCGGCAGGAGGTATTGCAACTCCGCGGAGGACGCGACTGTCCACCCAAAGTGTGGAGAGACTGACGTTTGTGAAAATGAATCAGGCGTGGATTAGTCTGGACAAACCACCAGTTCCTGACACAACTGACTAAAATCCGCCATGAATCATGCCCCAAACATGTGCCACTTTCAGGTCTCCTCACACTGCTGGTGTGTTCCATTTTTTGTCATAGGGTGCTGGCAGATTACGGGCCTCCCATAGCTGCTGCCAGGCCCTAATCTGCCATGGGCCCCTTATACCGCCTCCTCATGCTGCTGCCAAGTCCAGAGTCTCTCATGGGTCCCTGTACGGCCTCCCATTGCTGCTGTCTCCATCGCCACACTCTGCTATGTGCCACTTTCAGGTCTCCTCACACTGCTGGTGTATTCCATTTTTTGTCATAGGGTGCTGGCAGATTACGGGCCTCCCATAGCTGCTGCCAGGCCCCTAATCTGCCATGGGCCCCTATACCGCCTCCTCATGCTGCTGCCAGGTCCAGAGTCTCTCATGGGTCCCTGTACGGCCTCCCATTGCTGCTGTCTCCATCGCCACACTCTGCCATGTGCCACTTTCAGGTCTCCTCACACTGCTGGTGGGTTCCATTTTTTTGTCATAGGGTGCTGGCAGATTACGGGCCTCCCATAGCTGCTGCCAGGCCCCTAATCTGCCATGGGCCCCCGTACCGACTCCTCATGCTGCTGCCAGGCCCGTAATCTGTCATGGGCCCCTGTTGTCGCTTGTTGGCATATTCCGCTCGTTCAGATGCTCCTTCTCCTGCTACTCCTCTTCAACGGATTCCGTCAGCAGTCTTTCTTGGAATCCGTTTCCAAGAGACAACAGTTTGCGAGCACGCACCAGACGGTGCAGAAGCTGAACGTCCTCCTGTCCAAGTTGCTGCTGCCAGGCTCGTAATCTGTCATGCGCCCCTGTAATGCCTCCTCATGCTGCTGCCAGGTCCAGAGTGTGTCATGGGCCCCCGTACCGACTCCTCATGCTGCTGCCAGGCCCGTAATCTGTCATGGGCCCCTGTACCGCCTCCCCATGCTGCTGCCAGGTCCAGAGTGTGTCATGGGTCCCTGTACGGCCTCCCATTGCTGCTGCCAGGCCCGTAATCTGCCATGGGCCCCCGTACCGACTCCTCATGCTGCTGCCAGGCCCGTAATCTGCCATGGGCCCCTGTACCGCCTCCTCATGCTGCTGCCAGGTCCAGAGTGTGTCATGGGTCCCTGTACGGCCTCCCATTGCTGCTGTCTCTATCGCCACACTCTGCCATGTACCACTTTCAGGTCTCCTCACACTGCTGGTGGTTTCCATTTTTGTCATAGGGTGCTGTATGGCCTCCCATTGCTGCTGCCTCCACCGCCACACTGTGGCTCCACACTCTGGTTTTGGCCCCCGTGACTGCCCAAATGAGTGAAGTGTGCGGTGATTCTAAGATCGACGGCACTCATCTGCATGTCATACTGACTGACAGTATTATTTCTCTTCCCCAGCAGACTCCAAGGGCATTTAAATATTAAAGGTACAGTATTCAGCACTAATATTAAGTCTCTCTGAAGCCTAGAAACACCCTTTTTTAAGTT